CTGGGAGATCTGGGCAGTGCTGGCCAGGGAGCAGCACAGGAGTGGCCTCTACAGAAGGCTGGGGTATGCAAACCTTAACAGCTGGTGTGAAACAGGAGGTTTTCTCTACCCACTTTGTCAGGGCACGGACTCAAAGTATCAAAACAAGATGCCTGCAGCTTCCTCTAGATAATACACATTTTAAAATAAATTATGTAATTGTTAGTCTACCTAAAAAAAAGAAAAAAATAGAAGCTCTAGTTTAAACCGAAGGAGCAAGCTGATTTGGCACCTGGATAGACAGAAAAGCAACTATACAGATTCTGAAATGAGAAAACCAATTCTATTCACACTAATGAAAAAAAGAATTCCTGAGAATAACTTTTAAGAAACTTCAGGACCTATGCAAAGAAAACTTATCAGTTTTTAAAACGGTAAAAAATCTGGACAGACATAAATATATCCTTGTGTTTCCTAATGGCAAGTTTAAAAATGTCATTCCAATTAGATTCCCAGTTTTTAAAACATTGATGAAAACGACTAAATTCCTGGTTTAAAATATTTTAATTATGCAGTATTTCAAACAAATCCAAAAGAGAAATCATGACTTGAGAGAAGACTTCAGCAATATATATTAATGGTAAAGGATTAGTATCTATATCATATTTTAGAAAAAAAAACTCCGTTATTTAAAAAAAAAAAAAACTACAAAAAGGAAAAATGGGCAAAAGATAAAGTGATCTTTAAGACTCATATGTAAAAAACAAATTGAAAAAGAATGAGAAAAGGCTCACCCTACTAGCCAAAAACAATTAAAGAGCCATTAACATCAAAACAATTGTTTTTTGTTTTTTTTTTTTAAATATTTTATTTATTTATTTGATAGAGAGAGATCACAAGTAGGCAGAGAGGCAGGCAGAGAGAGGGGGAAGAAGCAGGCTCCCTGCTGAGCAGAGAGCCCCATGCGGGGCTCGATCCCAGGACCCTGAGATCATGACCTGAGCTGAAGGCAGAGGCTTTAACCCACTGAGCCACCCAGGCGCCCCTCAAACTATTGTTTTACCAGACCCCTGAGACTGTGTGATGGAAGCTGCAGAGCCCTTCTAAGAATGTTCTTTAAAGCATGAAACAATATGCACAGGATTAAAGAAAACCAATTACACCGAAATGCATTAACTTCTAAGGTTAAGAGACCCAAGAATAGGCCAAAGAAGATTCCAGTACTTAAGGGAATTTCATCTAGGACAAAACTGGTATTTCAGCTCAGTGGGGAAAATAAAATGTATTTAATGTGTAGTGCAGGCACACTGGATATCCATATGGAGAATACGATGGCTCCCTATCTTATGACATAAGCAAAAGTAATTCCAAGTTTTTAGTGGTTCAGAAAGAAAAAAGAAAACCATGATCTCAGAAGAGGCTAAGGAGACTGAATGTACAATCTGAGAGCTGGAGAACCCAGAAGGTGTAAAATACAAAAAAAAAAAATAATAATAATAATAATAATAATAACAACTTGTATGAAAAACCACAGCATCATTAGAGCGAAAAAACAAACACAGGTCAGAAATAAAAATGCTTAAAACATACACATATGGGTTAATAGCTATACTACACAAAGAGCTTATGGAAGATAAAACCCCCAAAACTGACAGAAAAACTGGCAAATATGAATAATCATTTCAAAAAAGCAAATCCAAATGGCCCACAGACACGAAAACATGCTCTACAGAAAATGTGAACTAAAGTAAGTTACACCTTGCAAATACTAGGTAACAAAAATTAAAATTTGAGAACACCTCCTGTGGCTGATGGGGAATGCTGGTGGAAATGTTCTTTGTTACACACTTTCGGAAAGCCATCTATAGAATGTATCGAAACTAAAAAATACAATTTTGTTTGACCCATGGATCCAACTCTTAGATACATATCCCACAGAAACAAAAAAATCTGTGCACAGAATATTTATTGCAGTACCATCTGCAAAAGCGATAAATGGAAACAATATGAACGCCTATCACTACAGCAGTAGTTACACCCTGGTAATCCATACCCCAACCATGGAATATTAATATTGCAAAATCACTGAAATAGATGTTAGATGCATATCAACTGGTCTGCAGGGATTTTCACAATCTATGGTAAAGTAAGAAAGGAAACGGGGTAAATACACAGATGATGCCATTTGTTGTATAACAATGTATATATACATATTGTATATGATTTTGGAGGCAACTATGGAGGCATGGAGAAATGCAAAAGGGGATACACGCCAGGTTCTAACAGATTAGCTCAGGGAGGAGAGGTAAGAGCTGAGTATTCATGTGACAAAGGAAACTAAACCAAAAAACACGAGACCCTATAAACCAAGAGGTCCTTAAAATCACATGTATGAATACAACTCATTTATATGAATGTCTATAAAGAAATATATGAAAGTAACCTCACTAAAATATTGTTATTTAAGAGTAATAGCTTTTCAAGTGATAGCGTTACTTTTTTCTTCCCTATGCAAATAAGTATCAACATACTGAACTCGGTGCACGGAGAGCCCTTACAAAGTAAGAACATATATACCTATGTGGCATACATTTGGTTGCAAGAAAAAAGAAAATCCAACTCACACTGGCTTAAACAAAACTGGAATTTATTGGCTCACATCAGTAAAAGGTCCATAAGTAGGGCTGATTTCAGGTCCAACTTGATCCAAACGTTCCAGATTGCATCAGGGCTCCAATTTAGACTCCCTCTCATTTTGGGGGGGGGGGGTGGTACAGCCCTGAGGCCGGCTCCTTTTGTATTAGAAAAACTAGTTGCAGCAAGTTCAAATGTGAATCTTCACACCACACTATCTTCCAAGAAGGTGTCTTCTTTCAGCCGTTCCTAAGGAAGCCTCTTGTATCTAAGCAGTCTGAGCTGGGTCAGGTGCCTATCCTTGAATCATTTATTTTTGGGGGTGGGGGAAGAGGGACAGTTAGTAGCAATGGTTAAAGGTAACCAGGCCAGCCCTACCTAGAGCTGGGGGAGTGGCAAGCCCATTATCCAAAGAAAACGTGGGTGGAAGTGAATGTTAGATGGGCGACCACAACATATAGGAGCAAGAAATTGAAGAAAATACAAACATCCAATAAAATACTGAAAGTGTCAATCTCACTAGTAATCAAAGAAATACAAATAAATTACATACTTTGTCTCTTATCACAGGTTAATTTAAAAAAAAAGAATTAAGTGTGAGAGATGTGGGGGGGCGTGCAAGACTGAGAACAGGTGTGTACACAGTTGGAAATGTATGTGTAACACAACAGCTCTACAACTTTATACCACAATCAGAAACAACATGGATTCCTAAATATGAAACAAAAAGCTAATAACAAATAGTAAAATTTAATGCCCCAACAGAAGTTGACTCCTTGTTGTTGTTGTTCAAACTGGATGCTCCCATTTGGGGGAAAAAAATCAGAGATCCCTGGGCAAATCTGTATTTATATTCCTTAGCTCCAAGTCTTGACTTAGCCTGTTTCTTCCTATTTACTTCTTTCAACATTCTTAGACAAAACCCAAGATAGGAGTCTCTAGTTAATTACCAAAGGAATAGCGGGGGTCAGAACTAGGGTAATGTCTTCCGGAAACGGATTAAAGGCTTTTTCCCTCTATCTTAATAGACAAAAATCTTTCAAAGTATGACTAATGAAATGGAACCCAAGATAAAGAAGCATAATACTTAAGAAGAACTACAATCCAGAGTACCTAGAGGACTATCCCAGTTTGCTTGAAAATACAAAAACTATACACTAAATTGTGTTTAAAGATATTATGGAAATGAGGTAGGTCTGTGCCATCCCACAGAGAGAAAAGGTAGTGATATAAGGATTCTTTTTATGAACTATGGGGTCACAGTTCCAAACTTGCGCAGAATCATATATACTTGAGTATGCTAAGTACAATGAATCAAAATCAAGTTCAGTTCCACTGTGTTCAATTATAAAGTCAACTCCAAGTGTGAATCTGTAGATATGGCGATTAAGTACTTCAAATGAAAACTTCCCCCAGCCCCCCAGATTTCAATTTTGAGCAAAAGACTATTCTAAACAAACAAAAAAGAGACTATTCCCAGATTTAATTTTTCTCAGGTCCAATTACAAAGTTAAGGTCCCATACATCTCCTGATTTTGTATCTTTCCGAAGTCAGGGATTTTCTTTCCATTCCAAGAAGGAAAAGGACTAAGAGACTAGTTTCTCTACTCCCTTAACTTTTAGATAAAATGACTTACCTGGTTAGTTTACATCAGTGGAATTTACTTTATAACCAAGAAATCTGACCTACTCTTATTACACGTAACAAAAAAATGACTAAAAAAACATGACAGAACGTGTTTAATCCTGTTGTGTTTAAACAAAAGGGCTAGTAGGCAGCCTTAGCAAAAGGAACGGTGGTTGAGACCATGGACATATGAAAAATGCCTTCACTGGAATCCAGCTCCATCACTGATGAAGCTTTGTGATCTCTGCGGAGTTACGCAGCAAACCTAAGTGTCATAATCCTCATCTTTAAAATGAGCATAGTAGGTGTACAAAGCAATCTCTTAAGGTTGCTGTGAGGCTTCATGAAATAAAAATAATCCAGCTCTTGGAACAACACCTGCACTAAGGAAGCTTCCAATAAATGTTAACTATTAATCTAATATAAACTGAGTGTTTATTTGTTCGTTTAGGTCTGTGTCAGTACCCCTACAGTTCAAAACACGACATTCCAATTGCTCCAATTTGCACCATCTGCAAAAGGCACTTTTAAACTACTTCAAATAATTTGGAAATGAAGAATTAACAAAATCCTCAGCTCTCCAAGTGACTAATTCAGATATCATAACTACTTCAGTTAGGAAACCTCCACTAGGAAATAAGCTTGCATCAAAACAGTAGAGTGAAAGCCATATAACAGATGAGAATCTGAGTAACACTATATTCAGATGTTCCTCAGCCCATGAGAAACAGGGAAACGGAGAATACCTCCTGCACAAATGCATCTAGGGAAAGCAGGCTATATTTATTTCGAAAACTATAAAAGGTTACAATATAAATCTATCAAACAAAATTAGTTTTTTAAAAGTGACTCATATGTATCCAAATTTTGACCAAATCGACACAACAATCCAATGCACAAAAAGATTATTATATAGCTCAAGGAGCAAAAAGCAATAAACAGAAATAAATGTCTTGTCAATACAGACACAACATAAATATACAAATCTACAGCTTTAATGTAACACAAATCGTAAGAACATGTGTTAGCTACCTTTCTCCAACAGTAATGCTTTATATTTAGTGAATACATAGATAATGTATAAAACCTTTAATCACATGTAGTCTCACAAGCGTGAACCAAGTAGAATGCAAGGTTTTCTTACGTGGGAGATGTACAGTTCATAAAGGACCCAATTTGAAGTAAACCCACTACCACAAGTTATTGCAAAGGTGACCCAGAAAAAGTCTATCATTTGCAACGTATACAAAGAACGAACTGCCCAGAAATTAGTATCAGAAATCTTACTGAAGGCTATCATGGTAACCTGCCTGAAAGGACAAATAACTTACTTGGGGGCTTCATATAGCCAGTATCAATGTAAATTAAGTAACATACGAGTAAAAAAAAATATGTAATATATAATAGCAAGAGGTTAGAAAAGTGAATACTGTGGAAAAGATTTATTAGTCTGTACAAGTTGGTTTTGATAAACTATTGGCTACTTGTTACAGTAAATTACCAAGATTTTCAATGCAACAGTATTTTCCCACACACATCAAAATCTGGAAGCAATACGTCTTTCTCATATTGTCATTTAGTGTTCTATTTTTCCCAACCCTCAAAACACAGATATAGGTTTCTGAATATCAACTAGCCATTTAGGGAAGTCATAAGATACAGATGTTCGTAAACATTACACAAGCTACAACGGACATACCCGGACAAACGCCACCAACATTTATGGAAAAAGGTGTTGGTTTTTAAAGTGGTAAGTACTACATGGGTTACATAAACACACTATTCTTGTCCTTCCAAAACCAAAATGGGGGAAAACCTTATTGCCATTCTGCCAAACACCACATAACTAAAAACGCTGCGCAAAGGGTCAGAGTCCAATGTACATGTCACAGAGTTAAAACTCCAGTTAACAACTGTGCTACTCATTGAAGAAAATTCAAAAGTAAGACCAAACTTCTTAACACATCAATGCTGTTTTAGAAGCAGCATCAGAACAAACAGAGATTTAATTATAAATTGGCCTGAACTGCATCCTGTAGAGAATTTTGCTTAGTACTAAAAGAGAATCTGTCAGCAAACATCCTACAAAAGCTGTGGAATCATGCTCTATGTTATTCCTGAAAGGAAATCTGCCAGGTTTGATGATACCTGAATATCTCCCAGTGGTTCTGGGAGTTCTACATACCAATTAATTCAGTAATTGATAGGAGTAGTTAAGCAAAGAGGAGACCAAAAGTAGACCTTGTATCAACATAGACTAGATAGGTGGATTTTTTAATCACATGATAAATGTAAATCATAAAATCAAATGTACTTTAAAAAGTACACCTATTTTATGTTACATAAAAAAATGTGGACTGCAAACTGCGCATGCTTACCATAACATTGTACCTGGGAAAGCTGATGAGTGGGATTTCTTGCAAATATTTACTGCCATGATACAAAACAAATATGTGCAAACTGCAAGGTCCCTAAAATAGCAGTTAGAGTTTATATACAGAAAGATGTCACTATCTGATCAAATATGCAAGAGATGGAGTTTCCCAGAGTTTATAACATAGAGCAGTAACCACCACAGGCTCCTCCTCCAGGGCCTTCTTCCCTGTGTGTCAGTTTGACTCCTTTATTCTGGTTCTCACTTTCCCACAGTCCAGGCGTCTGAATGATCTTTTCAACAAGTTCCTCAAAGGCACACTGTACACCATCACAGGTTTTTGCACTTGCCTCTGAAAGTCAAGAAAAAAATGTGAGAGTCTATTCTTTTACGGTCCTACTCCTATGCTTTTCTGGAAAATTATTATGGCATAAATATCAGTCGGTAGTATATACAAAGGCAAATCAGCAGTTTCTTCCCACAGGTTTAATATTCGTGAACCTCCCCCAACTCTCAAAGTTGAGCTATTCAATTCTATCCACAAGAATAGTGGTATATGAGCCCGGAATTTTGTGATATGCCAAAGTTCCCTATTAATTTTTCAGTTAGTTCTTAAAGTCAATCCCCAAAAAACAGATTATTATTCCCATTTCAGAATAAGGAAATTCAGGCTCCCAGCTGAACAGTCTGGCTGTTCTGTGCTGGCAATGAGACACAGATCTCCTTAAAAGAGCATTTATGGCCCCCATGAAACTCATGTGGGACAGTGAGCCCTGCCCCCCCAAGCCTACCTTTCCCTCGTCATTACCTTTTTGACTATCTGAGATGACCCTCTTACTCCTCTATCATAAAACTCCTCTATCTCAGCTCTTCACCTAACTTTATGTTGAGAAAAACAGAAACAATCTGACAGGAGCTACTGATCTTCCTACCAAGAGGTTCACCAACCTGCCTGCACTTGTAACCTTAGGCTCTGTCTTCGCTCCTGTGACAGCGGATGAACTGTCCCCTGCTGCGGTCTAGCCGCATCCCCTTTCCTAGCTCCTCGGATCCCAGCCCTTCTTGGTCACTGAAGAATCATGGGCCCTCACTCCTGGATCGTATCAGTCAGCCCAAAAGCCCACCGAAATTACTGTCTATCTTACTAACCAACCAAGCAACCAACCACCCTGCATTCCAGCCCACACACCCGACTAGCAGCCACCCCGGCTCTCTAATCTCTTTCAAAGCAAAACTGTCATCAAGAGTTAACCTACAAGTTGGTGCAGCCACTTTGGAGAACAGTGTGGAGATTCCTTAAGAAATTAAAAATAGAGCTTCCCTATGACCCTGCAATTGCACTACTGGGTATTTACCCCAAAGATACAGATGTAGTGAAAAGAAGGGCCATCTGTACCCCAATGTTCATAGCAGCAATGGCCACGGTCTCCAAACTGTGGAAAGAACCGAGATGCCCTTCAATGGACGAATGGATATAGAAGATGTGGTCCATATACACTATGGAGTATGAGGCCTCCATCAGAAAGGATGAATACCCAACTTTTGTAGCAACATGGATGGGACTGGAAGAGATAATGCTGAGTGAAATAAGTCAAGCAGAGAGTCAATTATCATATGGTTTCACTTATTTGTGGAGCATAACAAATAACATAGAGGACAGGGGAGATGGAGAGGTGAAGGGAGTTGAGGGAAATTGGAAGGGGAGGTGAACCATGAGAGACTATGGACTCTGAAAAACAATCTGAGGGTTTTGAAGGGGCGGAGGGTGGGAGGTTGTGGGAGCCAGGTGGTGGGTATTACGGAGGGCACATATTGCATGGAACACTGGGTGTGGTGCATAAACAATGAATTCTATTACACTGAAAAGAAATTTAAAAAAAAAAAAGAGTCACCTACGTAAGCTATTTCCCCTTTCTTTTCTCACATTTTTTCTTCAAACTCTAAACAACCTTGAACAACACCAGTTTGAACTGTGCTGTTCCACTTACACATGGATTTTTTTCAATAAATACAGTACAGTACTGTAAAGGTATTTTCTCCTCCTCATGATTTTAATAACATTTTCTCTAGCTTACTTTACTTTAAGAATACAGTATGTAAGACAGAACATACGGAGTTAACTGACTGTTTATCAGTAAGGCTTCAGATCAGCAGGAGGCTATTAGCAGCTCAGTTTTGGGGGAGGCAAAAGTCATATGCAGATTTTCAAGGTCAGGACCTCTAACCCCTCATTGTTCAAAGGTCAACTGTACTCTAACTAGGTTTTTGTTCTCACCACTCCATAGACATTTTCTTTTAAAAAATACCAACGTTCTCCATCTCGTCAAATCTACTGTCCTCCTCCTATTCAACATCTTCTAGCAGTTGATACAGCTGATCACTTTCCTCCTTTAAATACTTTGTTCACTTGACTTTCAGGAAGGACACTCAACACTCCTCGGATTCCTCCTCTCACCGACATGTCATTCACAGCCTTGTTGGCTGACTCCTCCTCTTTCTGCTGACCTCTAACTGTAGGAGCACCCCAGGCTTCAATCTTCAGCTGTTTTCCTCCCAGTTACTCCTGTGACCACTTTAATTCCATGACTTAAAATACCACCTAAATGCCAATGACCAGCATGTCCACGGGTTCTCCAAAAAATGGTTCATCCTTATGCTAAGCAGAATTCCTGATTCCCCACTCCCTTACCCAAACCTGTTCTTACCTCACGCTCTCACACACAGCTAATGGCAGCACAGTTCACCTAGTTTGCTCATGCCAGAGACTCAGAGTTATCTCTGATTGCTCTCTCTCCTCATCCTCAATACCCAGTCTATCAGCAGAGCCTGTCACCTTTACCATCCAAATATCTCCTTGATCTGCCAACCTTCCAGAAGCTACCCACAACCACTCCCACAGTCAAAGACACCAGCATTATTCATCTGGGCTACTATAAGAGAATGACAAGCCTCTTGCTTCTGCTTCTCAGGGGCCATTTTCTGTACAAACAAGTCTTTTTAAAAGAATATCAGATCACAGCACCACTCCCCTGCTTTCCACACTTGGAATAAAATTCATTTCTTTACCATACCCTATAAGGCCCAACATGACCTTTTAAACTTCATCTCCCGTTATCACCACCTTTCCCCCCAACATACACTATACTCCAGCCCATAAGCTTTCTTCCTGTCCCTTAAACACACTAAACTCATTCCCACCTCAGGAAGTATTTGCTATTCTCTCAACCTGAGATGTCCTCCCTCTAGATCTTCATATTATGGATTCTAGTTCGAATGGCACACCTCAAAGAACTTTCCCGAATTACCTCCCACCCCCTGTCATACTCTCTCTCCTTCACAGCACTACTTACTCAAGTTTGTTTCCTCTACTAGAATGTAAGCTTCATGAGGTCAGGGACTTTGTCCATTTTGCTCATCTGTTTGTTATATTCTCAGAGTCCAATAAGTGTTTTCTAAACTAATGTATCAAAATGAAGGACACCCAGCAAGTAAGCAGAAGAGGTAGTACTCAATTCCTTTCTAAAATTCCCTATTATCTTCCACTTATAGCACCCAGCTTCTATCTATAGATGATGTTCTTTTATTTCCATTTCTTAATTCCTAGAAGATTCTAACAGTGGAATAGCTCAATCAGTAATTCCTAAAGCTGGCTTCACATTAGAATCAACTAGGGTGTCTTTAGAAACTGTCTTCCAGGCCCCGTTTCAGACCTGTGAAAAGGTTCCAGGGAACCTGTAATGTTAAAAAAGTTCCAAAGTGATATAGTCTGTCCACTTTTCTAGATGGGGGGGGGTCAAACAAACTTTTCCTGTAAAGAGCCAGATGGTAAATATTTTAGGCTTTGAATGCCTTAGGGTTTCTGCCATAACTACTGAACTCTGCCAGGAAGCACAAAAGCAGCCACAGACAGCGTGTAGATGACCGGGTAGGTAAGGCTGTCCTCCAATACAAATGATGGAACCAGATTTGGCCCCATGCTGTAGTTTGCTGAACCCTACACTTCACCGTGCTTCTCAAGTATTAATGTGCATACAAACCACATGAAGATCTTGTCAAAATAGAGGTTCTAATTCAGAAAAGCTGAGTTGGGCTGAAATGAAGCATTTCTAACAAACTTCCAGGTGGTATCACTGCTGCCAGCACAAGGACCACACGGTACAACTACAGGGCTGGGTGCCTGCCTTTACTGAACGCCATCATATCTGGAGAGGAAGGATCTGTGTCCTATGCAACTTCACATAATGAGACCTGTTTTTTTTTTTAACAGAAGGAAAAATGAACCTGACTCTATAGTTAGATTTCACAGCACAAGAAAATGATGAACTAAGTACATACATTTCACAGTTCATAAAGAGAAAAATGTAGCAAAAACTCCATTTTAAAATTCCTCTTTAATAATGAAAGGATAAATGTTCACACACCTACCTATAAATAACATGGAATGCTTTCGTGCAAATTTCAGGCCTTCGTTTCTATCAACTTCACGATTTTCCTGAAAGGTAAATATAAAGATTAAGAAAAGCTACCAAAATACAGTCAAGATGCCAAGTGTCTGACTTCTTACCTTATCAATTTTGTTTCCAACTAGCATGTTTACTATGTCATTTCTCGTGCAGTATGTTTCCAATTCATTTAACCAATTATCCAATTTAACAAAGGTATCTCTTCTTGTGACATCATAAACTGAAATAAAAAGGGTCACATATTAAATAAGCATTAAAAATAAGAAGCAATGACATTATATTTCTGATATATGACTAAGAGCTAATATTTCTATGTAGGTAAGTCTGTTTCTAAGCCTTCAAATGTTTATCAGTATCTACTCACCCAGATGGAAGAAACAAGTGTGTTAAAAAATAATAATAAACATACACATACACACATTTCAATTTTATTAAGACACACTCTGAGAGAAATTAAATTATATCCTGTGCAATAACTGAAAATTAACTTAAGCAAAACAACAGCTGTTCCCATTGGTAACTAAAAGACACTGATCCAAAAACCAAAACATTCAGATCCAAATCTGTGGCAAAATACCAAATTTCTTCCATGGATTTAACCCACTGAGCCACCCAGGCGCCCTCTTCCATGGATTTAAACATCTATGACCCTGGGACTCCTGGGTGGCTCCGTTGGTTAAGCGGCTGCCTTCGGCTCAGGTCATGATCCCAGCGTCCTAGGATCGAGTCCCACACTGGGCTCCCTGCTCAGCAGGGAGCCTGCTTCTCCCTCTGCCTCTGCCTGCCCCTCTGTCTGCCTGTGCTCACTCTCTCTGACAAATAAATAAATAAAATCTTTAAAAAAAAAAGCAACAAAAAACAAAAAACATCTATAACTCTGTTAACTTGTTTCTTATAAGAACCAGAATTTGCAACTTCTTAAAAAATATGAAAACTTAATGGACAGGATCCTGATTGTCTCCCTGTTATCACTTTCATCTTACATCCCACTGCATTTTAATATGTAAAGAGCTTATTAATATAAAGACCTTATTAATTTAAAGTGTTTTCTAGGGGTGCCTGGGTGACTCAGTTGGTTAAGTGACTGCCTTCAGCTAAGGTCATGATCCCAGGGTTCTGGGATTGAGTCCTGGATCTGGCTCCCTGCTCAGCCTGCTTCTCCCTCTCCCTCTGCCATTTCCCCAGTCTGTGCTCTCCTACTCTCTCTCTGTCAAATAAATAAATAAAATCTTCAAAAAAAAAAAAAAAAGCGTTTTCTAAACTTAAAGATGCTGAACCAAAATAAGAGTTGCTGTTAAACCGATAAAATGAACCTAAAACCTCACAATTAATGACATAATATAAAAAGACCATTTTCCCTAAAATTGATCAATATTTATTTTTAAGAAGTTTCCCAGGAATATTAACAACAAGTACTTTTCAACAACTTACAGTGAGAATCCATATTTGGAATTTAAATTCTGTATGATTATGGACCAACAATGTTAAGTGCTTTGTGATACTCTTTAGGACTAATAAAAGAGATTCAACTAAGTAACTAGCACACTTCTTCCTTTATAAACGCACAGCAAATGTTAATACACTGCTGACTGAAGATCAGTTCCTGGTAACACTCTTAAGACAGACAATTATTTGTGGATTAATCCTCAATTATATCCTCATCAACATGTGCTTTTAAAACCAAATAAATTAATCTGATCTTTATCTTTCAATCGCTAGACAAATAACTGAAAAGAAATTTTGAAAGTTTAAGTATTCATTAATATTAAATGAAGTTAATATAACTTCAAGTTAATAAAGGGACCCTGAAGAAAAATAAAAACTTACTGAAATCAGACATTGCAATAATAAAACAACAATATTTAAAGCAGTATCATAAAGTAAAACCTTACCTAATATAACACCCTGCGCGCCTCTGTAATAGCTGGGAGTTAATGTTCTGAACCTCTCTTGACCAGCAGTATCCTAAAAGTGACAATTATTATTAAATTCAAGAAGTATAAAAGTATGAAAGTATTAAAAAAAAAAAGATAGTCAGCATATCAAGAGTAGAACGTCAAACTGCATTATTAAAAATATCCATGTACAAGCTCATTTAAAACTTGAAATTAGCGGCGCCTGGGTAGCTTAGTCATTAAGCATCTGCCTTCAGCTCAAGTCATGATCCCAGGGTCCTGGGATTGAGCCCCGCATCGGGCTAGAAGTCTGCTTTTCCCTCTCCCATTCTCCCTGCTTGTGTTCCCTCTCTCGCTCTATCAAATAAATACATAAAATCTTTTTTTAAAAAATTGTAAAACTTGAAATTTAAAATAGATGTGTTCTCTTACTGACAAGTGTTACATAAAATAAAGAAATACTGACTCATCTCTAGAAAAACACATGTCAGTAAAGGGGTATTTTTTAAGATTTTTATTACACATGAAACCTGTTTATTACACATGAAACCCATGGTTCTCAAATTCAGAAGCACAATGAAATTTCCTGGATATGAAAAATTCCAACCCCCAGTGATTCTGGTTTCACTGGTCTATGATAAAGACAAAAGTTTTCAAAGCCTCCCCAGGTGATTCTACTGTAGAATCAAGGTTAAAAACCACTTAACTTTTTTTTAAAAAGAGAATTACAGGAGTATCTTATTTTAGGTAAACAATTTTTAGGTTGGAAAGTATTTTCGGTGTATCTTCTTTTAGGAAAATGCATAAAACCAAACCACTTGCTATCACGTATTTCTGACTCATACTGGGGGAGAGGAACATAAGATGTACACCAGCCAGGAAGTGCAGGGTCCTGGGATCTAGTCCCATGTCAGGCTCCATGCTCAGTGGTGAGTCTGTTTCTCCATCGCCTTTACCCCTCCCCGTTCATGCTTTCTTGCTCTCTCTCTCATAAATAAAATCTTAAAAAAAAAAAAAAAAAAAAAAAGACTAGAGCAAAAAAATGTTTTAATGTTAAAATAAAATACTGCACAATTCACACTTTACACACAAATATCTAACTCAGTCCAGTTATGCAGAGTCTTTTTTTTTTTTTGATCCACTTATAAAATGTTTGAGTAGGTATGATAATTTGGGCAAAAACCCTGTGCCACAATACTGGATCAGGATTTATAACACCTATAAAATTTATATGCTTAAATAGTCAAAAGTTAACATTTGCTCGTGTTTGTTTTCAAGACAGGAATTTGCAGTAACTGTAAAAGCATCCCTGGTAGGTAAGAAAAGTGAGCTTATTATCTGTGGTTTTCTTCTCTGACAGGAAAGGAGGAAAGAGATTATTAAAGATAGAAATGAATAAAAGACTAGGAAGGATCTGGAAAGGCTAAATATTAAAATGTGGGAGTGGAAGTGAGGGCAGGATACAGAGAAAGCTTTAGAGGAGCCAAGTAGGTCGTGATGTGTGTGCAGCACTTTCTAGTGGGGTGCTGTACTCGACTACTCTATTTGACTGATCCTAGGAGGAGTGCCCAAGCTGGAGAGGAACTGATTTTACATATATATTAAAAAAAACACAGAAGAACCAGAGGAAGCAATGGTTTCATGTATTTCTATTAATGAGTGAGAAGGTCTTCCTAAATATGACCTAACACCCAAATTCATGGGGAAAAAAGGGTTTGACCACATAAATATTAGAGCTTTGGTATAGCAAGAACATCCTTCTTGACCCCATCCATACCCCATATACACTCTCATCCTAAACAAGCTTTGAAGGCAAATGACAAACAGGAAAAAAACATTTGCAGCATATGACAGAGTTGGTATCGCGCACGTGCGTGCATACAAACATTAACCTCTGAAGCACCTGCATGGCTCAGCTGGTTGAGCGTCTGACTCTTGATTTCAGCTCAGGTCATGATCTCGGGGTTGTGAGATTTAGCCTCTTACTTAAAAAATATTTATATGCCTATGATAAAGATGTCACTTCGGTAATACCCGCCAACCTTTTTATTACATAGGAACTAAAAAGTAAATTTTAAAAACCTCTTGCATAAAAGAAAGATCTCATGGAAACCAACAAGCCTTAGATCCAACTCTAACACACATATCTCACAAAACAGTAGCAAAGGCAGAAAGGAGTGATAAATTCAACCATGAAAAGTATATGGAAAATCAGGTCCCCACTTTTGTACAGGAAGAAGCCAACATTCTTAAATTGTTCAATATATTTTATTATGGCCTAGTCCAACACTTTCCAAATTGTTTTCTGTTAGACATTACTATTCTGATTGATATCATAATTATATTTTGGGGAGGGGGCAAATAGGCTACCAATCATATGAAGTACTATATGTTAGAAAAGAATTAACAGAAAAACATGAGACACATTTACACAGTTCCATGTTATTTGGGATAAAATGTGTATTAGAAATAATATGCTGTTCAGAGAATGCCAGGAGGATGAATCAGATCATACAGTGCATGAACAGTTGCTGTTTCAATCTGTAACTGATGCCCAAACATTTACTATTTAATCACCATGTTGAAGTACATCTCAACATTCTAATATTTATTAGAACCAGTTCTAATATTATCACAGGTAATAAAAACATATTTATATATTTAATTATCATAGTACAGGTGGGAATCAGATATATAAGAGCATATTTTTATAAATTATATATGTAATATAATATATTAGCAATCATTTAGATATATAGAGAGAAGTAGGCAGGTAGATAGCTAAGAGTTGGGGAGAGACAGGCAGACAGAGAGAGACACTGAGCATCGTGGATGTTTTTGACAATTAATGCTACTTTATTCAGTCAGCACTATCATGAAAAGGTCTAGTTAGGAAAGCAACATGCATCAGAATGTTTGGGTTCTCAGGCAAATGAAAAGGAAGTAAGTAAAGACTGGGCACTGATATTAAAAAATAAATCCAAAGTTGACAAAACCAAATTTCAAAAATCTTTATACTAACAAACAGGAAAAATACTTTTTTTCCTGAGCATCACTTCATCCTCTTCTCCCCAACAACTGCCATCAGTCTGAGCTGAGTATACACTGTCTTCTTCAAAACTTTAAAGAAACATATTCAATAACAATAATCCTCTCTGGCAGACAAGATGATTTTTCTACATTCTGGTTTTAAATATTCTTGAGGGATTACACACTTTAAAATTTGGGGTAAGTAAAACAAGTCTCTGCCTCATTACCCAATTATAAGACATAACCATTTATTGTTTTTCCCTTAACCAACAAATTGTCCAAGTTATTTAGTATAAATTATTTACCTCTAGAACACTATACACATCAATTTCTGCTTCTTTAAAAAATACAAGCTGAATATTTACACAAAACACATTTTTAAAACTCTTACCCAGATTGCAAGTTTAGCCTTATTTCCATCCACTGAAATTGTTTTCACCTTAAAGTCAACACCTTGAAAAAAATGAAAACGTTGATAAGCATCCCAGTAAAATAACACTTTTAAAATCAATTACCAAGAAAACAGAAAAGCCACTTTATCAAACACTCAAATTCATACCCCAAATTCTTGGAGTTATGGATGTGAAAATTTAAAGAAAAGTGTGCCTAAAGTTCAGCAGCTTAGGATTTAATCAGGATAAATGAAAACCAAATGCTTGCAGAATTCAAACACTTACCTACCCATACTTGCTTGAAAAAAAAAAATAAACACTTTAATGGAAAAATAAACTTCAATGTAAGGTGATTAACGATGCATATTAAAAGCCAAGTGCTGGAATTCACAGAGTGCACGCAGAGAAGACTATCCAGGCTGACCCTGGATCAGGGCCATTTTCTAAGGGGCTCCAAACGCCATCTACACTCCGTCATTAAGGTGCTGTCCACAGCCAGCCAGCCCATCCCCTAACTCAGATTCTGACTGTAAGCAGCTTGGTAAAAACACAAAAAGGCCACTTACTCCTTGTCTTATTTTTTTTTGTTGTTTTTATCCTAAAAAAAAGTATTCGTACTATAGAACTTTATCAATGATCCCTTGCTACTGCACAACTGCAAAAGAATTTACACACAAAAACATCTGTGCCCAATCCTCTAAGAATCTTCATAAGTGAAAAGGAGGAGTGCTCAAAGTGCTATGAAAATCTGCTGTAAATACTAATTTATGTAAAGAGAAGAGTTCCATAAGAAGACACATAAGGTTTTACTACAGTGCCCCCACCTCCAAAAAAAAAAAAAAAAAACCCTTTTCAGGAAAAGGAGTTGACACAAGCCATTTGGCTTAAATGAACAGTAACTGCCCACATGTCTTTAAAGAGTATCAAAATTAATGTGCAGGCTACCCCACTGGCCAGAGGGAAAGCATTAGCTCAAGAAGCTTGGAAAGAAACTTTGAAAAGACCTTATTAGCTTGTCACAATTAATTCAGAACAGCCACAACTAAGATGAACAGCGCCCTCATATACTAAATGCTTACGAGAACACCTGTCACCAATATGGAAATACATCAGTAATTCTTGGATGATTTCAGGTGATCCATTACAAACACAAAGTAGGTAATAAAAATGCGTTTCAAATATGCACTATATCAGGTCCTCCTGTATGCCAAAGATTAAGGAAAAAAAAAAAAAAAGTTTGGTGTTTTGGGCTAGAGTGATAAAGCAGCTGATAAAGCCACACCCAGAATCATGGGCCATTGTTCGTTAGAAGACAGTGCTAATAACATAGTCCAAGGAAAACCTGAAGTTTCTTTGCAGCTAAACATATAAAAAAATCTCCTATTAAATAATCTTGTATCATTAGATCTAGATAATGAAATACTATGCCACACCACTTATATAAAAGGTCTGAAGGGCGCCTGGATGGCTCAGTCAGTTAAGCATCTGCCTTCGGCTCAGGTCATGTTCCCAGGGTCCAGAGATGGAGTCCCACATCGGGCTCCCTGCTCTGTGGGGAGCCTGCATCTTCCTCTGCCCTCTCTCTTTGTCTCTCATGAATAAAATAAAAATAAAATCTTTCTTTAAAAAGTAGGAAATTATTTACATTTTATTTGTAATACTTTAAAAACAAAACCAAACCTGAGAAAATTCAGATGAGGGAAATGGTTCTGACTTGGTACAGGTACTAAATTAAGGCCACTGTAGACAATACATAGAGATAATCCATCAAACATACTCTCCAGTTAAATTCTCCAAGTTTTTCAGAGAATAAAGAATCTTTTTTCCCCTAATTACTCCAGACAACATGCTCAAGGGCAGACTGGCTTTTTGCCAGCTACCAGCTAGTGCACCCAAGAAAAGAAACTCACTGTTTCCAAAATGTTTGTGTTCACCTCCCCTCTCCCAATCTCCTTCTCTTTCACAATTTCCTGTTTTTCATGTTTCTTGACAGTCTAATGACAGTCTCTGTCATATGTATCATTTATATGTTGTTAACTGTTTCCAAGTTACTCTTCTGGGATATTAAATCTGAAAGTTACAGATAACATCCTTAGGAAACAATGCCCACTGATGTCCTATCATCAAAGTCAATACACACAGGTAGCCTGAAAGGGCACCTCATCTGGACCCAGGCCCTGCAAGTCCCCCATTTCATCTTTCCTTCGTCCCTCTGGGGAATCTCCTACGCAAACTTTAGCTTTCATCTGCTCAAACTGCTTCTTCACCAAGTCTGGTTCTTCTGTTTTGCAAGTGGCTCTTAACTTCCTTTTAATGATAGCCACACTGGGAATCTTTTTAATAAATCTGATTTTGCCAACTTCTTACTAGATTTGATTATCTTTTCAACTTCCTCATGTGGATGACAAGCAGCTTGTAACAGAAGCTGAATGTCTAGGGAAAAAAAAAAAAAAAAACAACACTCCTGTGTATTTCTTCTACTCTCCTACAACACTGAACACTTCTGTGACCATATTGTGAGAGGTTTTCCCACAAGCAATTCTCGACTCTCCGGGGACATCGGTGTCTTATAATTCAATTCAGTCTGATAGAGTCAGATCCCACAGAGGAAGGGCTAATTAATAATAAGTCCTATAAGACTACTGCCCGCCCATTTCAGATGCCATCCCAAATCCAGGTTGTTACCTGTGCTTCTGACCACCTGGCTATTAATCAAAGCTTCCCACAATCCCCTCCTTTGATTGGATTAATTTGTGGCTCACAGAATTCAGGAAAAGCTTCTTATTAGAGTATCATTTTATTATAAAAGGATATAACCTAGGAACAGCCAGATGGAAGAGACAAATAAGAAAAACTATAGGGAAGGCACAAAGCTCCCATGCTCTCTCCAAGTATGCCATCTTCCCAGAACTTCCATGTGTTTGCCAAAACAGAATTCTCAGAACCCGTAAATTTAGCATTTTTATGAAGGTTTCATTATTTAGGCAAGACTGATTAAATCATCGTCCTTCAGTGACTGAATAAAATCTCCCAGCCCTCATCCCTCTCCCCTCCCCTGAAGTAGGAGAGGAAAGAGGGGGACTAAAAATCCCAATCCCCTAATCACATGGTTGATTCTTCAGGCAACCAGCCTCCACCCTTAGAGGCTTTCCAGAAGTCACAGCACCAACATAAACTCAGGAATCATTGAAAGGGGCTAGTTATGAAAAACAAAAGACATCTTTACTGCTTTGATCAGTTAAGAAAATCAAAGGGATTTAAAAACTCTGTGCCAAGAACCAAATATGTATTTCTTATAAATCAAAATATCCACAGAATTGTAATTTTGGCTTTTTCTTGTTGTTCATTTGGGCTTGCACTTTTAATAATTAATTCAGGTTTTTTACAGTAATCTTTTTAAGGCAGATGAGTATTTCAGTTAAAACTAGACATTACAGTCAATAAAACCTTTAAAACAAGCAGTAAATGGAACATGAAAGTTTACCAAAGATAATATCAACTGTATTATACAGAGACACTCATCAGTGAGACATCAGAACACATCAATGAAATCATATGCCATGTCAGAATTAAAAAGCAATCAAAAGAAACTAACTCAAAACTAACAAAAATGGGGCGCCTAGGTGGCTCAGTGGGTTAAGCCTCTGCCTTCGGCTCAGGTAGTGATCTCAGGGTCCTGGGATTGAGCCCCACATCAGGCTCTCTGCTCAGCAGGGAGCCTGCTTCCCCCCCCCCTGCCTGCCTCTCTGCCTACTTGTGATCGATCTCTCTCTCTCTCTCTCTGTCAAATAAATAAAATCTTAAAAAAAAAAAAAACCAAAGATGCTAGAATTAGCAAACAAGAAATTAAAAACTAGTTTAAATGGATAGCCCATGTTGAAAAAGTGAAGTAGACATGAGAGATTGAAAAGACCCAAATCAAACATCTAGAGATGAAATGACAATGTCTGAGATGTAAATTACATGGGATGAGATTAACAAAAATCAGACATCACAGAAGAAAACATAAGTGAATATGAAGACACAGCAATGAGTGCCTGGATGGCTCAGTCAGTTTAGCAGCGGCCTTTGGCTCAAGTTATGATCCTGGGGTTTGGGAGCAAGCCCCATGTCAGGCTCCCGACTCAGTGGGGATCGTGCTTCTCCCTCGCTCTCTGCCCCTCCCCCCAGCTTGTAATCCCTCACTCTCAAATAAATACATAAAATATTTTAAAATAAATGAGTAAAAATCAAAATCAATGAAACAAAAATAATTGGTTCTATAAGGAAAATCAATACACTGATAAATTCTAGCCAAAGTGATCAGGAGAAACAAAAACAAAAACTGCCATTATAAAGAATGAGAAAGATCACATCACTACAGATTGCACAGAGTGATGTGGTTAAAAAGAGGTTAAAAAGCTACCAAGGAAATGTTATAAACAAGTTCATACCAAAAAAATTGACAATCCAGATGAAATGTCAATTTCCTTCAAAGATTAAAAACTATCAGAACTGACTCAAAAAGAAACAGACCACAAACAAAATACCTAAAGAATATAAACAAAAGGAAATCAAAACATGTCACTATAAAAAATCAGCTAAACCCAAAAGGCAGCAGTAATGGAGGAAACAAGGGAAAAAAGTGTGTAAGACACATAGAAAACAAACAGCAAAAGTTCAGAAGTAAATCCTTCCTAATCGTAATTATATTAAAGGCAGAGATTAGCAGAATATATATAAATATAATATATACATAATATATACATAAATATATATAAATATATATAAATATTTATAATATATATAAATATATATAAATATTAAAAACATATATAAATATATATAAATATATACATAAATATATATAAAAGATCCAGCTGTATGCTGTCTATAAGAGACTCACACACCAAAGGAAAGATCCTAATAAATATGAAGCAAACATTTACATAACTGAAAGGAGAAATATAGTATTAGTTTTAGATTTTAATATACCACTTTTAATAATAGATAAAACAACCAGAGAGATAAGACAGAAATAGGATTTTTGAACAATACAAACCAGTAAGACCCAATAGAACA